AGAGAGAGAGAGAGAGAGAGAGAGAGAGAGAGAGAGAGAGAGAGAGATAAACTCTCCGAATGATTGTAAGAGAAAGAGCTCAATTCACCGAAACTTTCGGGAAGTTAAAATAAAATGAATGTGTGCACGCGCGCTATGCTCACTCGCTCGCATCCGTACCTAAAACAAGTTTGAAATGTTAAATGACACTTTGTACAATTAGTCACAACGGCGCGTTGCCATTTCGAACTGGAAGCGTTTCTGTGTTGCTGTTGCTGTTTTTATATTGACTATCGTATTTAATTTAATGCGGTGCGTCCTTGAACATTACAATCTCGTTTTTTTATAAACTGTAATCGATTCGTTGACGGTGTGCTCTCTTTTATTCATTGTGTGCACTGTTGTGTGTGTACTTTTTTCTGTGAATTGTTAAACGAACAATTGAATCGACACATCTGTTTTTTGTTCCGAATTTCATCGCTTTAATTGCATTGTGTGTGTTGATAAATCTATATATATAAATTGAATGTTCGTCTGTGTGTCTGTCGCGAGTTATCTCTCCTTTTTTAAATTTATTTCTTTGTTATGCTTTCCGTTTGATTTCGCGCGGCCTCACTAAGGATCTTATAAATGCAGTTTTGGTTTTCGAATTGAATTTTTTGGAGTTTGAAGAAAAAATTTTTTTATTATTTTACGATACAATGTACATTAATGTGGATTGATGGCAATGAATATTTAATGTATTGTAAAAGAGATTTGATTTCATTTAAAAATAAATAAATTGAAAAAATTCATAATTCGCATCAGGACAAACCATATACATGAGTGAAATTTGTTTTGAATGAAAGAGACTTAAAATGAGGAGAAGACACACGTAGATTGGCTTAAGATAGAGTAGCTTGGAGAATTGTGTAAGCTTGAAACACTGATTTAAAAACAGACGGACATAGAAAAGTATTAATGGCTTCTAAATGTTTATTGATAATTAAGAGAAAAATTAGAACGTTAAATAAGTTGAACTGAATTTCGCTTTTTCATGTAATGTACTTTACTCATTGATTCGCTTGTTGAATCCAAGCATCAGAATCCCACACACATGCAGACACACACACTCACCCACATAAAGAGAGTCCAAAAATGATGCTCAACGCTGTAAATTCCTCTTTTTTTCTGGAATTGTGGTTTATTTCTCTATTTAATTTGACCCGAATTAATTATTAATGGAACATTTTCATTTCATTTACGATTGGTTTAACTTATTTGCGTTGAGTTTTAAATTGGATTCCATTTACAATTGTATTAATAAACATTTCGCAATTTTCTGGTTCGCCAACAAAGTGCTATTCAGTCCACTTGAGTGATCCACTGGCTCAGTAAGAGTGAGTTCAGGTGGAAAAAATGTTCCATTTTGAATTTATTTTGATAGCTGTTTTAATTGCAAATGAATTTTGTAAGAAGTCACCACATGCTGAACAATAATTCGGTTTGGTTTAATTCTAGCTAAAGCGTTCTTTTTCTGATCTGTCATTAACATTGTTGCAAATGTCGATAAACAAAATTCTATAACCAACTGGAAATTTTCCATTTTCACCGATCTTCCCCAATTATTCATGATTTCATTTTATTTTTTGGTTGTTATTGCGTGTTTTTCTCTGTTTATTATTGTTGTGTGTGATGCTAAAAACATCGAAGCATCCAGAGCGTTCGGTCTCTTTCTTCGCCACATTTTTCGGCAGTTTGATTTTCAAATTAACGTCGTTACTTTCAATCACAATCAATTCATAGATTTAAACAGCAAACCAAAATTTTCCAAGCAAAATTTTGCGAAAGCGATCGAGAACGGTGATGTAGCCGGTGGTTTTCTTCCTTCTTCAAACGACTTTTTCTCATTTACGTGATAAATCATCATCATGTTTTCCTCATGGTCCAATTTTCGGTCGTAAAATTCATGAAATCCCGCGAACAAGCCAAAGAATCAAACGAATTGAATCGTTTTTACCGAAGCGGGTCAAATGTGCGTCATTACAATCCAACGAACACAACCATATGGTATGGTAGCGAGGACATCTACATAAAAACTGCTTCTTTGGATGGTTTTTTTTTTGGTCTTTCTGCTCTCAAATCTCGTTTCACTTCACTTTTGAATAAAAAAAAAACTCTTACGATTTTTACAACACATTAATGATTATCATGGCAGAAAATCAACCTTGTCAATTTGCTAATATCATCTCTCACGTTTCCATTCTGCGCGCAGCACATTAAAATACGCACAAGCATGAACCGATGTGTGTTTTGTATGTATCGCGGTAATAACGGTGCACCGGCCAAAATTCAATGTGTCATGAATTGTTAACGAACACATTGATATAGCGCTCAATCGGTATTCAAAGTTCTCGACATTTCGTGCATACTCTCGTTCGCTTCTTCTTGGATTGTTTATGAATTTTGGACCAAATAGTAAAGCCCATACAAATTATTCAAATGCTATGCTAATTTTGATGATCAACCACAGAAAAATAAACCGGTTGACACGGTGTTTGTGTAAGTTTTTTTTTATCTCTCACTCTATCTAGCTTCTTGTCAATGGAATATAGCGGAAGGAAACAAACAGCAGTGACAATATTCGGCAAAGAAATTGAAAACTGCAGACAAAAATAAACTCGAGACGGAAACCATTAGCATGATAATCATAAAAAAGTGTTTGGCCTTATTTGCAAAATATTCGATGGTTTCTTAATGATTTGACCCCGAGCTTGATATGGTGCGTTTATGTGTGATTAGATTATCTATTATGTGTGATTAGATTATAAGTTGTACGTTTTGCATGCATCCCGAATTAGAAGAGGAAAAGAGAGAGAGAGAGAGAGAGAGAGAGAGAGAGAGACATGCAATTAGGATGAAGAAAATCGTTTATAGCTATTAGTGTCATAGTCGATGAAGTCAGGTATTAACCAATGTTCTCGAGACATTGTCATTAGAGCTGGCATTTAGATGATCGTATTATATACGTATCACAGGTCATTGGTATACAGTTACACGTGACTCTTGTTCACATAAAGTTTCAGCAAGTGCCTCACTCTTTTTCCCTCCGAACTTGTATCTCGCCCTTTTTCTATTGCTCTTTTTCTCTTACTTTATACTTTCCCTCCCTCATCTTCTATAAACCTTTAATAAGTGAAATTTTCCAGGATGAAAATGTCTCGTTCGCTACATGAACGACCATTAAAACTGAACCAATTTTCATGTTTAATCTGAAACATGTACCATAACCGTTCACAAATTGTGTGAATCACAATACCAACCGCTTTCTCAATGATAACACGAAGAGCATCAATAACACAGAAAATCAGCGACAAACACACCTTCAACTGCTGCAAACCACAAACTGTGATTTTTCCACTTTTACTCTCGTGTCATTCTCTTCCTTATCATTTGATTCCATGAATCAGAAGACAAAGCAAATTAACAAGTATGAAAAAAAAAATGGACAAGTTTACAAAAACACACATGCATCCATCGGTGAATAATCTCCCGTACACTGTCTCATTCCCTCTCCCACAAGCTAAAAAAAAGCATCGAGAGATAATCGATGGTCGCACGGCATAGTGAATGTGTGAACATATCACACAAACACACACAGAGAGAGACAGAGACAGACACGGCCAGGTAAATGAAGTTGCTAAACGTCTCTAGAAGAGAGACATCAAGGTATAATAGGTTTGAGAAACCAGTGATATAGAACAATATTCAGAATCTTATGATCAGTGCGAGTCGATCGTTCGAGCGCGAAAGATCAACATTTTTATTTTTGTGAAGTATCTATCAGTCCGTGTTAAAATAATTTCTACTTTGAATTAAAAACAAAACAAAGAGCAGGCAAACAACAAAGACGTTAACAGTGGCCGTAACCTTGATTAATCGTAGCGAATCGTACAAACAAAGTATATATAAATTACGTGAGACTGACAACATCGATCAAAATGCTGTTTAAATTAATCACTCTTTGTGCAGTTGTTCAACTGGTTGTGTCACAGGTAAGGATTAATGTTTAAATGGATTTACGTTAATTGGACGATGTGGGTAAAAATAGAATTCACTTTGCAAAATTGCAATACTAAGTTTGATCAACAAAATGCCATATCGTCGCAATGACGTTCATTTGGTTGATTTTTTTTTTCGTGCAAATAGAATCGTTAGTTTTGGCAAACGAAAATCAACGGTGAACAAAAAAAGTGACCGCTATAAACGGAATCATCTAAATTGGCCAAAGCGAATTTCAGTTTCGAAGGGGGAAAAACACGTACATACATTTGCCAAAAATTGAATCAAATTTTAAATTGTCGGTTTCAATTTATATTCTTTATTCGTATTGATTGCATTTTGGTTTCGAGAGATTGAGAGTAGCGTACATGCAAATTTTCTCCATTTGACGGACTGTTTGTTTGATTTGGATTTGGATTTTCCACGATTGAATTTCCATGCGACTGAACATTTGTTGTTTTTTCAGTTGACGTCGTCAACTTGACGATGAATCATGGAAATTATGGGTTTGGATAATCCCAATGGCTCTTATATCTCGTTCTCGTTCTATTTATCTTGATCTTTCTCGATCTCTCTATCAACGAATGACCACATAAATTCAAGTTGTCTGCAATTGTTGCTCTGAGCTGTTGTTATTGCTTTGCCTTCTATTCAGTCTTCCATTTCTCGTTGTTGCATGACTTTCATTAAATTGACAACCGTAACCGCTCCTGTTTGTCATGTGCACACAAATTCAATCGCATGGCGCATGTAATCTTCCAAATGGACTTTGGTCTTATAAAAGGTTCATCGATGTTGTTGTAAACACGTTTGTACGTTGAACCTACGTTACATGAAATTGTGTTACTCCAGACAAACGAAATGGAAAGACACAGACATGTAAAACGAAAGATTTGCATGTCGAAAATTGAGGCAAACAAAAACAACAGCAAAGAGAGAGAGAGAGAGAGAGAGAGAGAGACATATTTTTAGCCCGAAGTAATAATAACGGCGATAAAAATCGAAATGAGTCGTCTACGTCAGCTTAAATGGTTCGATAATTCCTCCGCAATATGGCTAAAAATAACCGACAAAAAAAAGAGCCGACAGAAGAAGAAAACATAAAACTGGCAAAGGCTTTTTTTCGCATACATATATTTCATCATTTGTTCTGGACTTAAAGCTCTTTCGGGCAGTTTCAGTATGCACTTGAAAATTCTTTATTTATTTAAATGTTAACAACAATTTCGTATGCTTTAGAATTTTTATTGCAATAACGTGGTGATGATTATAATGGAGCACACCAATTGCAAATGCGAATTGGAAAACTTAAGCGTGCGCCAGATCACGTACACAATTAAATGTGAACTGCGTTTCATTTGCGCGGTTTCATATAGAAAAAATGAATTGAATTTTTATTCTACCGCGCGCGCACACAAACACATACTCACCAAGTAAACGGCTCTCTTAATGACGTGCTTCATGTTCGCTTGTCCACTATATTGTCAACTGATGTAAGCACTCTGCCCTATGCGTTCACATTGTCCGATGGTTTTTCCCATGAAAAAAAAAACAGATCGGCCATTGTTTTACCATACATACATTTTTATTACCTACACATTTGTTTTTCTGTGTTTTTTTCATCTCTCTCTCTTTTCTCTTTAATTACAACCACATCAAATCCAAATCGGATCTAAAAATAGAATTATAAACTAAACGTATATTACGATAATCTGATGGAACATACAAAACTTGTTCTTCTTCGTGATCTTTCTGGCAGGCTGTTGTTGTTGTTTTTTAAGTACTGTTTACAATGTTGTTCGCATTGCATAAGTGATTGCGATGGAATTCTTGACGCGTATCATTTTTGACGACGACGTCATCATCAGCACTGTAAAAACGCCCTTTTTTCATGTGGTATCTCATTAAATATGGCTTGTGTCTAATTAGTGGTGACTGGTGATAGCTACGTAGATGTATAAAAATGCCAAATTTTGTGCAACTGAATGGCCTCATTCGTTGAGAGACATAGAGAGTGAGAACGAACCATGATTGACGAACAAAAATAAATTCGATTCAAATTAAATTCCGTTGCGGTGTTAAACCATGGATTTTCGAAATGTGTCGCGATTGAAATAATCATTGTTTCAATTAAAGCCGAAATATTCAGTACGAATGCATTTAATGCACTCATGCGAAATTTGAATGGAACAATTGCGTTTCGAGATTTATTCTCGTTAAAACTCGATGATTCAATTTTTCGCAATATTGGATTACTCACACATATATACACATTGGAATGTCGATTGATTGTCTTGCGTCTGTTGGAGTTTGGGGCGGCCGACGAACTTTATCGTCGATGCATTGCTCAACCCATGCAGGGTTTGTATGTTCACCATAAAGCGACGCACTTTCAAAACAAATGCCGCTCAACAACAGTGACTGTGTCAGACATCAATTGGATGGCGATATGTAATTTGGTATTCAATGCAGATAATCTAACATTGTCGATTGGTCGGACAGTTTTATGATAACCTTTAAATCTTAATACAATCGATTTTATTGTCTTTCATTTCCATTGCAAATGAGAGTTTCGAATTTCATGTTCATTCTGTCACTATTCGTTTGGGCCAACTAATGCGCGCACTTTTGCGTGCTCACGATAATTAATCTGAAATAATTCAATTTTGGCACATCGCTCCCGTTTCCATTCTCACTCTCTCTCTCTCTCTCTCTCTCTCTCTCTCTCTCTCTCTCTCTCTCTCTCTCTCTCTCTCTCTCTCTTGCACATTTCGCTCGCTCGCTCTCTCGTTTCGACTAAACAATCGCTTGGGTCGCATTTCACTTAGAGTGAGAGAAATGTTGCAATGGTTTTGTCCTGTCGGCTACGTGACGCTATGCACGATATGACACCACATAGCATTTTTGGGGATGGTTTTAAACGCCAAATTCCAAAGTAGGAAAATAAATCCACATGCTTCAATTTCATTTGAGTACATAATTAATGGAATAATAAATCAATGAGTGTTATGTGTGTATTCTGTTTCCCATTGCCCATAGCCGCATTCGTCCGAGGATATTCGTTGTTGTATAAGCATCAAGTGCACCGGCACTTCTAAAATAGATGAAGTAATTAGTTTTTGATTGTAATTACGTTTAAGCATAAGGTATCACTTTGAACCGCAATTAATGTGGTTATTGGTTTTGGACGGAAAAGTCTTCTTTATTCGTTCAATCACGTGCAATCGTGCCTTTTTCGTTTTATTTTTTTTATCTATTCCTTTCTTCGTTGAATTAATTAAATTCATAGGAATGCCTCTATTTTGTATGCGATTAAGATTTTGAAGCTTAAGTATTAGCGATTTCGTGCAATTTTGTACTCGGTACTGCGACCAAAGAGAGAAAAAAAGTACAACTCAACTACCTTTGCCATCGTCGTCACATTACATTTGCTATTGGTCATGCATGGCTTAATATCTTTATTTCGTGCGCTCAATTTATTGCTGGACTGAACACCAGATCGAATCGAGTTTTTGATGTTCGTTTTAATCGCATTAGCAGCGCATTGAATTTGGTGCGCATTGTCTGGGTATTCCAAAGGAAAAGAAAAAAAACAAGAAGGAAAAATGAAGAAGAATGACGAATGAACGTATTTGAGTCAAAGCATTCCAGACAAGTGAAAAATGAAGAGATTTTTTTCGACCAGTCCAATTCAAAGCGATTTTTTAGGGTTTCTCATCATCTAAAGCATAAGCTTCAATTTTCCACCCCCTCTTGCCTATTATTTACATGCCGCACGAAAAATCGAAATTAGAAACGAGCGATAAAAAAAAAAATCCGCTCTCTATTTCAAACAGATGCGCTGCAAAAATATAGCTGACTTTGACCAATTCGCTTATGTTAAACAAACATTTTTAGCACTACATGGAATGTAGGCTACTGTAGTTGTTATTTTTTTCCCGAGAAAATTTTAAGAGTCTTTAGGCCATTTTTTTTGAGACCGTTAACTAATTCATTTTAATATCCATATTTGTTATTTAAAATGAAACAATTACGCCTAATTGCAAATATGAAATAATAGCATGTAATTCAATTTTGAGATAAGTCAAAAAAAAAATTGACACTTTTTTCGTTGCCAATGTGAAATAATGTACGATGACCATTCACATTGAACGTACATTAAAACAATAATTGAAGAATACAATAACATCATGTTGATTATTTTTGACAATATTAAAATGATTTACATACAAAAAATATACTACATTCCATGTAGTATTTACGATAATAATTTGATGAGAAACATCAAATTTATTAAACCCCTTAAATTTACAAGCTTCAAGAACGCAGAGCGGAGCGAAGCGACGATCTGCGGTCTTGTTTTTTCCTATTTTAGATTGGGCTGATTTCAATTTTTTTTTTTCACCCACAATTTTCATTCATATTTCATTTTTTTTTCTCAAAACCACGCCAAATCGTTTATTCTGTAGAGAAAACGTTGTCGTTGTTGTTGTTGTTTTTTCTCTCACTCTCGTTTTATTTCCATATTTCACATCAATTTCTTTTACATTGGGCAATGAATTGATTTGAATTTTGTTTTTCTCCTCCCGGCTGGTCATAGATTAGGATTAAAATTTAAACATCGTGAACGATCTCTCGAGATTTTCATTTAGCTAGACATATGCACACACACACATAAGCAAACATTTATTCATGCCTGCCATGTCTTGAATCTTATTAAAATGGCAAGAAAATTTTGCTGGAAAATAGGATGAAGAGGGAATGAAAAATCATGAGCAAATGTATAAACACAAAACACACGATACGTATACAACGGGGCTAAGCAACCAGTTCGACGCAATAAAACTGTTACATTTTCAATGCACAAAAAGTGTCTAGACATTGAAAAATTTTCTTTTCGAAACAAAAATACTTTCCAATAATACGGTCCACTGTATAATATACTTTTAGTAATTTAGTAAATGGATTTGATGTGTTTTTCTCTCTCTCTCTC